TAAGAGGAGACGGAAGGAAAAAAAGAGATAAAAGAAATGGCAGAGAAATGAATTTAAAGGAGACGGAAGAAGAAAAAGAGAAAATGGGAAGAAATGGCAGAAAATTAATTTAAGAGGAGACGGAAGAAAAAAGAGATTGGGAAGAAAATGGCAGAGAAATGAATTTAAGAGGAGACAAAAAAAAGAGATGGAAAGAAAATGGCAGAGAAATGAAATTAAGAGGAGACCAAGGAAAAAAAGATTTAAGGAAATGGGAGAAAATGAATTTAAGAGGAAAAGGAAAAGAGACGGGAAGAAAATGGCAGAGAAATGAATTTAAGAGGAGACGGAAGGAAAAGAGACGTGGGAAGAAATGGAAGAAATGAATTTAAGAGGAGACGAAGGAAAAGAGAAGGAAAGAAAATGGCCGAAGAAATGAATTTAAGAGGAGACGGAAGGAAAAGAGACGGAAAGAAAAGGGTGAGAAAATGAATTGAAGAAAGAAGAAGGAAAAGAAGATCAAAAAATTGAAATGAAATGAATTGAAGGAGGAAAGGAAAAAGAGAAGAGGGAGAAAAAAGCAGAGAAATGAAAAAGAGAAAGGAAAAAAAATGGGAAGAAATGGCTGAAATGAATTTAAAAATAGACGGAAAAAAGAGAACTGGGAAGAAATGGCAAAGAAATGAATTTAAGAGGAGACGAAGAAAAGAGGGGAAGAAAATGGCGAGAAATGAAAATGGAGAGAGAATGAAAAAAGTAAAGAAATGGGTTGAGAAAAGAAAAGAGGAGAAAGGAAAAAGAGACGAAAAGAAATGAAAGAGAAAATGAATTTTAAGAGGAGAAGGAAGTGAAAAGAGAAGAGGGAGAAAATGGCAGAGAAATGAATTTAAGAAGAGAGACGGAAGGAAAAAGAGGTGGGAAAAAATGGCCGAGAAAATGAATTTAATAGAGACGAAGGAAAAGAGACGTGGGAAGAAAATGGCAGAGAAATGAATTTAGAGGAGAGGAAGGAAAAAAGAAATGTGGGAAGAAAAATGGCAGAGAAATGAATTTAAGAAGAGACGGAAGAGAAAAGAGAATGGAAAAAATGGCCGAGAAATGAATTGAAGATGAGAAGAAGGGTAAATGAGACGAGGAAGAAAAATGAAATGAAATGAATTGAATAGGAGAAGGAAGTGAAATGAGAAGAGGGGAGAAAATGGCAGAGAAATGAATTTAAGAGGAGACGGAAGGAAAAAGAGACGTGGAAAAAAATGGCAGAGAAATGAATTTAAGAGGAGACGGAAGGAAAAAGAGACGTGGGAAGAAAATGGCAGAGAAAATGAATTTAAGAGGAGAAGGAAGGAAAAAGAGAGGGGAGAAAAAATGGCAGAGAAATGAATTTAAGAGGAGAAGGAGGAAAAGAGACGTGGAAAAAAAAAATGGCCGAGAAATGAATTTAAGAGGAGACGGAAGGAAAAAGAGACGTGGGAAGAAAATGGCCGAGAAATGAATTGAAGATGAGAAGAAGGTAAATGAGACGAGGGAAGAAAATGGCAGAGAAATGAATTGAAGAGGAGAAGGAAGAAAATGAGAAGAGGAAAAAAAATGGCCGAGAAATGAATTTAAGAGGAGACGGAAGGAAAAAGAGACGTGGGAAGAAAATGGCAGAGAAATGAATTTAAGAGGAGACGAAAGGAAAAAGAGACGTGGGAAGAAAATGGCAGAGAAATGAATTTAAGAGGAGACGGAAGGAAAAAGAGACGTGGAAAGAAAATGGCCGAGAAATGAATTTAAGAGGAGACGGAAGGAAAAAGAGACGTGGAAAGAAAATGGCCGAGAAATGAATTGAAGATGAGAAGAAGGGTAAATGAGACGAGCGAAGAAAATGAAATGAAATGAATTGAAGAGGAGAAGGAAGTGAAATGAGAAGAGGGGAGAAAATGGCAGAGAAATGAATTTAAGAGGAGACGGAAGGAAAAAGAGACGTGGAAAGAAAATGGCAGAGAAATGAATTTAAGAGGAGACGGAAGGAAAAAGAGACGTGGGAAGAAAATGGCAGAGAAATGAATTTAAGAGGAGACGGAAGGAAAAAGAGACTTGGGAAGAAAATGGCCAAGAAATGAATTGAAGATGAGAAGAAGGAAAAAATGGACGAGGGAAGAAAATGAAATGAAATGAATTGGAGAGGAGAAGGAAGTGAAATGAGAAGAGGGGAGAAAATGGCAGAGAAATGAATTGAAGAAGAGAAAGAAGAGAAATGAGACGAGGAAAAAAATGACAGAGAAATGAATTGAAGATGAGAAGAAGGGTAAATGAGACGAGGGAAGAAAATGAAATGAAATGAATTGAAGAGGAGAAGGAAGTGAAATGAGAAGAGGGGAGAAAATGGCAGAGAAATGAATTGAAGAAGAGAAAAAAGGGAAATGAGACGAGAGAAAAAAATAGAAAATAAATTGAAGATTAAAAGAAAGCGGAAATAAGTCGAGGAAACGGAATGGCAGAGAAATGATTTGAAGAGGATAAGTTAGGGGAAATGGGACGAGGAAAACATGTAGATATATGAATTGAAGAAAAGGAAGGGAAAATGAAACGAGGAAAGAAAATGACAGAGAAATATATTGAAGAGAAGAGAAAAGGGAAAATGTGTCGAGAAAATAATGGCAGAGAAATGAATTGAAGATGAGAAGGAAGGAAAAATAGACGTGGGAAGAAAATGGCAGAGAAATGAATTTAAGAGGAGACGGAAGGAAAAAGAGACGTGGAAAGAAAATGGCAGAGAAATGAATTGAAGATGAGAAGGAAGGAAAAAGAGACGTGGAAAGAAAATGGCAGAGAAATGAGTTGAAAGGGAGAAGAAAGGGAAAAGAGACGTGGAGAAAATGGCAGAGAAATGAATTGAAGAGAAGAAGGAAGGAAAAATGAGACGAGGAGAGAAAATGTTAATGAAAAAATTTAATAAAAAAATAATTTAAAAAATTACCTATATAAAGTGGATGTTGTGTTCATATAACACGTAATTCAATCAAATTAATACAATGTTTTTTTGTGTTTTTTTTTTTTTTGCCTACATTTTTGTCTCTGATTCTCCAACTTCAAGAAATGCTAACAAATATTTCCAAGACATTTTTTCTTTTGAAGTATAAGATCCCGAATTCTAAAATAATTTAAATCTTCAAAATATAAGATAATTGTTCTCGGTAAGATATTTAATATGAACCCTGTTCTTTTCACACGTAAATTTGATCATCACCCGCTTTGGATATCATATGCCTGGCGCTAAGTATCAATTTCCGACATATCTTTCCTTGTATTTATCATAATATCATGACCTAGACCTCCATTTTTTTGGTGGTGGGTTGATGTTGTATCCGTTTTTGTTACTGAATATCAACCAGAAGAATTCTAAATAGAGTAAATGCAAACTTTAATCACTTTTCGTGAATTTTAAATCTGAACATAACACAGATCAAGTTTTCTCTATCTAAAACCGTAATTAGAAAAATTTAACGTGAATGTTTTATTTTAAGCTTCCTTTTAAGTAAAAATATCATTTTTATAACTAAGTTACAGTTCATTCAGAGGGCTCAAAATCACATAATTCCGTCAGGCTCTATTGGCCAAACCCAGTCTCTCAGCTCCCTCAACGTGTTCTCTTCAATCTTCTGCCCTGCGTTTCAATGGCTATTTTAGCTTTTTTTTTAATGCCAAAAGTTTCAGTTAATCAAATCTGGACCCTGAAAAAGATATGAACGATGTGTTTTTTTCCCCCAAAAAAAACACCCACCAGGAGATCACAAATCTACTCATTCAGCTATCGAATTCGTTGGTCACACGGAACACATGTTATGCAAACGGTTCTAAGGATTTTTCAAAATGGCGGTATACTTTCGGGTCCGATTCTGTGAAAATGGATATCAAAAATCTAATTAATAAATAAATGGTAAAAGCAAGGATATAACAAAAAGAAAAATGAACGAAATGTGAACTTACTTAATGTGTGTTAGTAAATGGCGCCAGAAAAAAAAACAGAATCTATTGAACTGTTTTCGAAGCAGCCATTCAGCAATTGAAAGATGGCGGCATTGTCGTCTGTTTGTAATAGTCCTGGGTTAAGCTTTAATGGATAAAATAAAATTATCTTATCGCGAAAATAAAATTCAACAGGGGGTTGTTTTTAAGACACATATTTGCATGTAGGTAGGTAGGTACATAAATGTGCAGTTCAATCGGCATTAATTTCTAACAATGTCCAATGAACAGAGAGGTGTAACTTGAGATACGGATCGCAGAAACTAGGAATATTTGAATTCTACTTATCTCGCTCAAAGACAGAATAAGTCTAGCGACGAAACATCAGAACCCAGAAGAGCCAAATAAGAAATAGTTAAACTGGGTAAAGTAAGAAAATGGAGAAGATGAACAGAAAATGATAGTAAATGGTTTATATAAGGGGAGTGAAAAGAAAGAAAGAAAGAAAGAAAGAAAGAAAGAAAGAAAGAAAGAAAGAAAGGAAAAGAAATAATAGTACAATAAAAAAGAAGAAAAAGCAAAAGAGTGAAAAGAAACAAAGAATGAAAGAAAAAAACAAAGAAAGAAACAAAGAAAAAAGGAAAAGAAATAGTACAATAGGAAAAGAAGAAAAAGCAAAAGCGTGAGAAGAAAGAAAGAAAGAAAGAAAGAAAGAAAGAAAGAAAGAAAGAAAGAAAGAAATGTACAAGAAAAAGAAGGACGACGCAAAAAGAAAGAAAGAGGAAAAGATAAGCACAAGAAGAAAGAAAAAATGAAAAAAGAAGAAAGGAAGAATAAAGAAAAGCTCGAGAACAAAGATAAAAGGAAGTAAGAAAGAAAGATAAAAGAAAAATAAAGAAAGATAAGTACAAGAAGAAAGGAAATCGCGAGAAGAAAGAAAGAAAAAAGAAAGAAAGAAAGAAAAAGAAAGAAATAATAGTATAATGGAAAAAGAAGAAAAAGCAAAAGCGTGAAAGAAAGAAAGAAAAGAAAGAAAGAAATAAAGAAAGAAAGAAAAGAAAAGAAAAGCGCTAGAAGAAAGAATAAAAGAAAGAAAGAAAGAAATAAAGAAAGAAAAGAAAAGAAAAAAAAAAGAAAGAAAGAAAGAAAGAAATAAAGAAAGAAATAAAAAAAAAGAAAATAAAAGGAAAAAAGAAAAAAGAAAAAATAAAGAAAGAAAAGAAAAGAAAGAAGAAAGAAAAAGAAAAAGAAAGAAAAAAAGAAAGAAAAGAAGAAAAGAAAGAAAGAAAGAAAGGAAGAAAGCAAAGAAAAGAAAAGAAAAGCGCTAGAAGAAAGAAAGAAAGAAAGAAATAAAGAAAGAAAAGAAAAGAAAAGAAAAGCGCTAGAAGAAAGAAAGAAAGAAAGAAAGAAATAAAGAAAGAAAAGAAAAGAAAAGCGCTAGAAGAAAGAAAGAAAGAAAGAAATGAAGAAAGAAAAGAAAAGAAAAGAAAAAAAGCTAGAAGAAAGAAAGAAAGAAAGAAATAAAGAAAGAAAAGAAAGAAAAGAAAAGAAAAGAAGAAAGAAAGAAAGAAAAAAAAGAAAAAAAGAAAAGAAAAGAAAAGAAAAAAAGAAAGAAAAAGAAAGAAAAGAAAAGAAAAGAAAAGCGCTAGAAGAAAGAAAGAAAGAAAGAAAGAAAGAAAGAAAGAAAGAAAGAAAGAAAAGAAAAGAAAAGAAAAGAAAAGAAAAGCGCTAGAAGAAAGAAAGAAAATAGGGGAAATGAAAAAAGAAGAAAGAATGAAAGGAAGAAGTGAATACTGAATAAATAATAAAGAAAGAAAGCGACTGGCAGACAAAATAGGAGCAATTGAAGGATAAATGTTAAAAAAAAAAAGGTAAAGTCGATGAAAAAAAAGAAACTAGCGATTGGGCATATCGTCTGTTTCTTACAAACCCGTTATGTATTGTGAAAAGGTCTATGGTTCACGGACAGTTGTTGGGTGATTGGAATATAAATGGGTTGTATATGGCAGAAAGACATAGCGGCGCATGCGTCCTTGCGTGTTCGTGCGTGAGAGATATTTATAGCTGTCAGTTATTGCCTCATTTTGAAAGTGCACAAACAGGCTAATGGCGGTGACTCCTGATCTTCTTGTAAGAACTTCTTTCTCGAATTTTTGTTCATCTATATTCAACTACAGCCTTTATAGCCGTTAGTCGGATTCACATTTGCTGACATCGTGTTTTTTTTTTAAACTATGATACTGTGTTTTTTTTTTCCTTGTATGTTTTTTCATCTCGTCTATTCTTTCTTTACAAGGGTCTTACATTAGGTTGAGGTTAAGCAGTTTCAACCGGATACCTTCCATGAGAGCATAAGTGCAAAGAAATACTCCTTAACAACCAGGATCGAAACTTTATGTGGCGGCTCTTCCTCGCATCTTAAACAGGTCCGGAAGTTTAATTATCTGGCTAGTGTAATAGCATCATCATCATCATTATCATCATCATTATCAAAACTGTTTCGATTTGAGGCCATGAATTAAAATGTTCTCTCATCTTCAGTGACATTGTCTACTGATTCGACAATATTTTGCCAGCCTTCTCTGTCCTCTGCGAGTTTGTGAATTCGTTGCAGATCTTCTTTGATTGTAAACTTCTCCAAATGAAAAGAGGGATCTTTCTGCCTTGTTCTTTGAATGTCTCTGTTCAGCGTTGTGACAATGGTGGTTCTTGGATGACCTTTGAACTTTTTGAAGTCAGTCTTTTCAAAGTAAAACTCCATGGCTTTGTTAGCTGGGCATTCTGAATCCGTTCTGTTTGTTGACATTCGCTTGGTTTTCTCTTGAACAGTGAGCTGTATTACAGACACACGGTTTGATACTTTCCAACATCGATATACATTATTCTTCCATTTACTGTTGACAAGAAATCATTATTCAGTCATAATGTCTGCATTCTGTCTCTAAACACCATCAGCTGTTTGTTTTCGCTCAATTTATTAACAGTCCAGATCAAAGGTTCAACTTTTCATTTTCCCAATATTAAATGGACACTTTACCAGTAAGTATGCAAATTTCTTAAATAATATGAGTTACGGCTCGGACAGCAGTAACTGGAGCAGCATGTTCATGGAAGGAGGGTAATACAGTGTAATAACAGACGACGGAATGATTTTCTGTGATACAGACATCCAAACTGAGACAAGAAAAGATGATAAAGAACCAAAAAT